TTTCAATTTGTTAAGTTGAACGGAGTTAATTGAATGCCTTGATTGCACCAACTTGATAAATTTTATGACTTAATTGTACTTTTTGAAAGTTTTAGGACTTTATTACACTTCTGTGACAAGTTTTATGACTTGATTGCACTTTTTGAAAGTTTTAGGACTCAATTGCATTTTCTTGACAAGTTTTATAACTTCCAATACACTTATGCGTTTAGTTGATAAACTTAGGTTAGCTTAGGATTTGATAAGTTATCTAGCTTAGGTTTTAGTTAATAAAAATTAAAATTAGCATCACCGTTTAATAAGGGGAAAATTTCAAATAAGGACATGAAGTGTCATCATTTTCTCAAATAAGGGCATAAAGAGGACCTTGTCTCAAATAAGGACCTGAAGTGACCATATCAGTCTCAAATGAGAACCTGACCTCACCTGCCAAAGGTTATTTTCGTCTTTTACTTTTTTGAATTTTTTTCTTTTTTTTCTTTCTTTTTTTTTTCCTTTTTCTGTTTTTTTCCTTTTCCTTTTCTTTTTTTTTTCCTCTCTTGGCCTGGGCCAACGACCTTCGCCGGCCTTGCCTGACGTTGGTGAGGGCGACCCTCACCCGCCCAGCCCAAGCAATGCAACCCTCGCCCAACGCGGGCTGGGTGGCCCTCGCCCTACGCCGGCGAGGGTGGCCCTTGCCTGAGGCTGGCGGTGTTTGCTGGCCAGGCGCAATGACGGCTGGGGAAAGAAGAAGAAAAAGAAAAAAGAAAAAAGAAATGAAAAAGAAAAGGAAAACGAAAAGGAAAGTAAAGTAAAAAAAAAATCAAAAAAATATACTTATAATTTTTTTGACTAAAATACCCCTTCTCTGACGACGAAATAGTCACTGGCTGGCCAAGGTCCTTATTTGAGATGACATGGCCACTTCATGCCCTTATTTGAGATGATTTGTCCACTTCAGGTCCTTATTTGAAAAAATGAAGGTATTTCAGATCCTTATTTGGAATATTCTTTTTAATAAATGATTAAAATAGCTGAGAGTAGCATCATCATCAAAATATGCATAGATTTAGACTCATCCTAGATAAGATTAGTATCTAATCCTAAGCTTATGAGGTTCATATCCCAAGGCTTGATAACAAGGCATTGTCTATTCTTTGGCCGATTTAGTATCGAGTTTAGCTTACTAGGTTCATGTCCTGAAACTTATAATGAGGCCATGAATATTCTTTGTCCAACTAGTATCAAGATTCCATTTCCCGTACCTTTGCTTAGATGCTTTCATTACTTGGTTGTTTATTTTAAGGAAAATACCACAAAAAATCCCAAACTATGCCACTTGTGACAAGTTTACTCCGAACTTTTTTTTGTGACACGAAAAACCCCAAACTATGCCACTTGTGACAAATTTACCCCACAATACTTTGACCTATGGGCATTTTTGTCCTTTGCTTTTTTCTTTTTTTCTCTCTTCTCTCCGCTGGATCCGACGAGGGCGACCCTCGCCTGAGTCGGGCGAAGTCGCCCTCGCTAGATCCAGCGAGGGCCGCCCTCGCTCGACGCCGGATCTGGCGAGGGCGACCCTCGCTTGATGCCGGCAGGGTCGCCTGACGCCGGAGGGTCGCCTCGCCGGATCCGGTGAAGGCAGCCCTTGCCGGCTTCCTCCTCCGCTAGGACCGGCGGAGGGAAGAGAGAAAAAAAGAAGAAGGAAAAAGACGAAAATGCCCATGGGCCAAAGTATTGTAGGGTAAATGTGTCACGGGTGGCATAGTTTGGGATTTTTTGTGTCACAAAAAAAAATTTAGTGTAAATTTATCACAAGTGGCATAGTTTGGGGTTTTTCGTGTCACAAAAAAAAGTTATGGGTAAATTTATCATAAGTGGCATAATTTGAGATTTTTGGTGGTATTTTCCCTTTACTTTAAAGCCATTTCAATAGTTTGTCTGTCAATTTCTCTTTCTAGAAGGTTAGATCTAGTTTAGGATCATAATGAACCCTTCAAGAACATGTGCATAATCACTTAGTGGCTTTGATATCTTTAAAATCATGATTGGTAATCAAGAGTGAATCACCATTTAGATAATAACCCTCCAAGTTTGTAGTACCAAAAGGGTATTAATAGTAACATTAGTGTAACCAAGTCCCTAAGCTAGAATTTCACTGTATAGAAAATGAGATGGACCTCCCACGTCCAATTTGATTTCTAGCTGATCCCGAAATGGCTAGTGGCGACTCTTAGAAATCATTAGACTTAAAAAGGACTAAAAGAAATCCAACGTCATGCGAGGTATGTGATTGGGAGAGACTGTGCTTCATTGATGAGCCATTTGATCTGCCTTTTGGGCAATATCTCTAAACCCAATGCCTTCAGACGGAAAAAAATAACGAATCCTCGAAGGTGAGGGTCACAATCCGGATTTATTTTTTAGTTTATCAAATTTTGTTATCATTTGCCATATTTTATTTGTCTATTTTACAAATGTCTTCAAATTCAATTGCTTTTATATGAACTTATCGTCATTTAGTTGTGTGACTTACCAGGTTTTCTCCCATTTAATCACCATCAAGTTTTAATTTATCTACCCTCATTTGAGTTGCTTACCACAATTTATTTATTCTTCTAATTTTCGTAACCTTTTATTGAGTTACCGATTTTTATTTATTGTTCTTACCAATCCACTAAATTTTACTAACTGTTTGTGATTGATTTTTAATTAAAGTGATTACCAACTTTTCTTCGATCATATTACTATTTTGTTTCAGGTTATGAGCTCTTATATGAGTTATTTATCGATATTTATTTAATTATATTTATTTAAATTATCGACTTTTCTCATCTCTAATTACATAACTTCTCTTAATGATTGAAACAGGACTGGGTTGTTCTTATTTTGATCTACGTTCTTTGCTTCAGTTGAGGAAGAACACTACAAGTAGATAACTTTTATACGCTGCTTGCCATAACTTTTTTTTTGCTTATTTTTTTTGTCGAATTTTTTCGACCACTTGAGTGTTGCTTTTTTCAAAAATCATTCACTTGAGTGCCATAAGAGATTTGTCTCGCGTGAAAAACTAACGTGGCATTAATTTATTATATTACCGCAGCTCGATGGCAAGATCAGCAAATGAAAAGTTAATCGACGTCGTTTAGAGATCTATCTGAAGAATCCTAATTCAGTTTAAGAAAATTGGGGCAAAATTCTGTCCAAGTTGGCAAAGTAGGTGAGGGACCCTAACTCTGCTACCAACCCGAAATTGGGGTTCTCAAAGCACGCGAGGGAGAGGGAGAGGGGCATCCGTTGGTGAAGAACCCCAACTCAAAAAGTGATTCTCTTACACATTCTCTCTTGGGAGTGACCATCGCCATTTCTATATTTCATCCACCAACGGATTTTGGGCTCTCAAAGGAAGCGCGAGGACATAAAAGAGAGAGTGACAATGGACAACGCGCTATGCTTCCAAGCCGAAACAAGTGAAAACAGAGCGAGAGTGAGAGAGAGAGAGAGCTTCGTAAATTTTTTCTATGGAGTCTATGATTTTTGGAGAGGAAGAAGTGAGACATAGAGAGAGGTTAGTCTTCCTAAGAAACATTGAGTTTGTTAGCTCGTCACATAGGACAAGAAAAATTTCCAAGTGAACTTCAATTTCTTCTAAAAAACCAGGTCGGATTCAAAAATATGATTTAAAAAGCCATGTATGACTAAATACCGGAATAGGCACTCAATGATTTTACACCGATGTGGCACTCAAGTGACTAAAAAAAAATTATGGCACTCACAGTGGCTCTTCTAGTGTTCTTATTGCGCTTCCTTCTCATCGGTATTTTTGACTTCTTTACTAGTATGTACGGATCTGTTTCTTGTAATGAGTTTTGTTATATCTTATCAATTCTCTTGCTCAATTGAATGGTTCGATGAATAAAGTGTTCAGAATTTGTTGTAGCAATCTTTCTTTGATTGCCTTAGTCCTTACTAAGCTCCAGGTTGCTTATTAGTTGGTGGGATGATCTGTCAAATGGAGGACCTTTTGTCTGCGGTTTATGCTTTGTTTAGCTTCAACTTTCGTGGTTTTATTCGGCAAAAACAGATTGGATCTTTGGTAGCTGACAGATTTGGTGTGATAGATTGGATCATTCTCTTTTGGCATTTGTATTTGATTCTCGATTTGATGTTTCCTAGTTAGATGGACAGGGCTGCAGTCCCGAATTTATCTCGCTACAGATCGCTTTAGCAAGTGTCTCAACCATCGCGTGACACCAACAGCAGGTGCCACAATTTCTATTGGCGTATTGGCGCACCGGCAGATGCCATCGCTAAATATTTCAGGGACGGTTTTGGTGTAAACTGTTGCACCTTTTTAGTAGTCACCTATACAGAAAAAGACTTGCTACTGTTTTATTTTGATTTGTCGATTTTCTCATTTAACAGGACAACCTCGGTAAGGTTATTATTCGCATGGGAGAGGCGAAAATAGATGCGAGACAAAGAGAAGTTTTGGATTAATGACATTAATTGGTGCTGGTTTGAGCGCATCTTGTTTAAGATGTATGTGTGGATTTGGCGGCGAATAAAAGGTGATGCTACCTTCCTCTTTACCGAAGAAGCCAATATTCCAAGCAGGTTCAACTTAAGTTCACAATGAACAGACTGGAAAAATGGGTATTAACGAAAATGATGTTTCGTACACAACCTTACTTGATAGATGTGAGTGCTGCTTGTGTAAAGGGCGATCTCGTCCTTGATCTGCTAGTTCAATGTTGAAGAAGATGGATTTTAACCTTTCCATTGTTGAACTAAACGATGTGCATTTGTTATGAAAAGGTTTTGTCCTACTTCTTTAGGAAAGTTTGCCTTTGATTTGCAAAAAATGCTGTGCGCATATATGTTGTACTAACAGTGAATTCGCCTGAGTTTGATGAAAGATCCTTAAGTAATGTTCGATTCGTCAGATTAATAGAAGAGAGCTCACTGCACAGCTTGAAGGGACTAATACTACATCTAGTTTGACGCACCGGAGAAGCTGGAGCATAAATTATTGTCTTATTATTGACTTGACACATAAGTCATTCAGCAAGCTGTTCACATTCAATTCTTTCGAAGAAGATCTTCCCTTGAGCATTGTCGTACCCGAAATTGTGATGCTGTTGAGCCAACGCTCCAATTAGAGACAGCCATTGAGACTCGGTTGGCTCTCAGCCACTGCCATGCAAAAGAAACCCGGCTTCCTCTGGAAGAAGAAGCTCTTTGCGGTCATGTTCAGCTTGACCCCCCCATCAAAATGAAGCGCCACCACCGGAAAATCGCTCACCTCTCTCTCTGCAGTCCCCGCGTAACACAGCATCGCCAGGTTGTGCCCGTATTTGACCCTCCTTAAGCCTCGCTTGTCAAGCAAGCTCTGGACTTCGTTCTGGAGTGGAACGTAGCCATCTGTCTTCAGCCAAGTCAGTACTGATCCCGTGTCGACTAAAACTCCGCCTTCACCTGATGTCTCTAGTACATCCAAGCATTATCAACTCAGCACCACAATCTAAAAGACTGAACAGAAAAGGCTTAAAAATCATAGTCTCACATTAATGTTCTTTGGAATGACGTGAGTCTTGGCAATCCCTCTTTTTTAAACTCAGCCTTTGTTTTCAGCTCGTGAGATTTATCATCTTTTTCCATATTTAAGATGCATTTACTGCATAATAATTTCAAGAACCTTGACCATAACCCAGAAAGCAATAACAATGAAAACTAAAGTGTGCCATATATGCGTTACGAGAATCAAGTCAACCATTGAAATCAATCGGATCATTGTATTATGTCTACCAAACCAAATTGTCTCAACATGGAGTCATTAATCGGCTTCAAGACATACATTGTCAATCACATGCCAACTCTAAGGTATAGCGTCTTAGGCTTTGATCTATCTTAGCATGTTGGTCTGGTTTGTATGAAAGCTTCATCATTAAATTAACTGACCACCTCCCTATACAATACACCAAAGGGAAATATAGTCTCTTTGACCTCCGAATAGATCTCTGATGCTGGTTTATCTTTGGCCTTTATGCATATTGAGGTCAGGTGGTATTATCCCCTGTTTTGTGAAAAAGCTCATTTTTCAATCATGCTAAACCTTAATCAAATACGATGTGGACTCTGGAGGGGATAAAATGATCAGAATGAATAGACCCGATCCACATAAGTTGATTTTATTACGTTGATTGATGTATTTACAGGTGCTACTCTAGAAGTTCACAGTCAATTCTCTGGAAGAAAAGTTTCTTCCCTCCAATGTCATAGCCAATGTTATAACTCTGTTGAGCCATCACTCCAATCACACTCAACCCCTTGAGGTCAGAACTGGAAGGACTAACAGCCATGCAGAATTCACCTGGTCCATTATCATGAAAAAAGCTCTCCACATCTAGTCCTAGAATGGCCCCACCAGCGAAGTGAAGCCCGACCATGGGGAACCCGGTGAGGTCACTGCTCATGTTTCCCTTGTAGCATAAGCCGGACGGGCTGTATGGGTTCTCAACCCGCTCGAAGGACCCATTCAGCAGCCTCTGAACCTCCTTGCTGAGAGGATCAAATGCGTTCCACGTTAGGAGGATGATCGTGGTTCCGGAGTCGATGACGACCCCACCCGTGCCAGACGGCGTCCTCCAGAACACCGCAGGGTCGATGTTGAGCATTTTCCCTCCAACGCTGATTCCTTCCAAAGTTAGGAAGTAGAGGTTATTGAAGACCTCCAATGGGGTCGAGTCCCCTTCAGTCACAGCATCATCACCTAAAATCAGTTGGTTATGAGCATAGTGAGGGTCTTTTAAGCTTCCAATGCAGAAAGAGAATTTAGACCCCATTTTTGTAGCCAGAGACACATTCTCAGGGCCAAGGCCCATGATCCCACTAGGCTGGTCATTGTAACCATCATTGTCATGGCCACACCCGATGACCATATTCGAGATCTTCGCTTCCCCCTCGTCGGACGTCTCGAACGTGAGCGTCTCCGTGCCGAAGAGCCCCTTCACGGTGATTCCATCGAGGTAGCTGTTGGAGAATTTACAATAGTTGGCTGGGTTGCATCTGTCGCCCGGAGGCAAGTAGGTGCAGTAAGGAGAAGTGCATGATAAGTTCGCATACGTGGAGGATTTGGAAGGATCGAAAAGCGGGTTTGATTGCTCAAAGCACTTTGTGCAAGGCAGGCATTGGATCCAGAGCAAGCCGCTCCCCGTGTCCATGGTCGTTAGTTGCTGCACAGGGGGCTGGCCTATCGAGAGATTCACCATGAGCTGTGTCGCGCCCTCTTCTGCAACAAAGCGGCCACGGACGTCATTGGGGGCAAAAAAGGTGCCGGTGGCTTTTGCTTCCAAGTAGGCCAGACGCGCCATAGAGCTTCTGACTGCACGAGTAGCTGGTTTGGACATGTTTGCATCAGTTGTGTAATACGGAGAGAGAACAGAATTCCAGTGAATAAGTTTCACGGCATATTGTCGGTGGCTTCTTGCGGCTATCACTTCGGCCATTGTGGTGGTCAAGCAGAGGAAAGCAAGAACAATCGAAATCATGGTTATGATAAGAGAGAGAAATCGACGGTGTGATGCTAATAATGTTGCCATGGAGTTGAAAGGAGAAGCTAGAGACTAGGGTGCTGCATGAAAACCATTCTGGTTCTGTCCAGAACTGGTTTTTTGTTCCCAGAATCAGTTTTGGACCAGAAACCCGTTTGGTAACGCAATTTCATTTTTCTATTTCCGGGACAAGTTTGCTTCCAAAACTGATTCTGAAACCAGAAATGAGAACAAAAAAAAAAAAGTTGGTTTTTCATTTCTGGAACAAAAGTGAGAACCATTTTTGAGGAATTCATTTTCTTCAACACACGTATTCATATGGAAATCACGATCTTTGAGGTGAGAAAAAAAAGCAAAAATTTCAAAACTTAACAGAATGGTTTAGAATCTGTGGCTACCCACTTTCAGTGAAATTTAAATTTTTTTAGGTATCGAAAAAAATAAATAAAAATAAAAAATTTCAAAATTTCACAAAATGGCTTAGAAAACCTATAGCCACCCACTTTGAGCAAAATTTAATTTTTTTAGTTGCCAAAAAAAATAAAAAATTCTAAAATTTAAAAACTTCACAGAATATCTTAGAATACCTGTGGCCACCCAATTTGAGCGAAATTTTATTTTTTTAGGTGCCGAAAAAAATAAAAAAAAGCAAAAAAATCAAAAATTTCAAAACTTCACAGAATGGCTTAGAATACTTGTGGCCATCTACTTTGAGTGAAATTTTAATTTTTTTAGGTGCCAAAAAAATAAAAAAAATAAAAAATTTCAAAACTTCACAGAATAACTTAAAATACCTGTGGCCACCCACTTTGAGTGAAATTTAAATTTTTTTATATGCCAAAAAAATAAAAATAAGCAAAAAGTAAAAATTTCAAAACTTTACTGGAATGGCTTAAAATACTTGTGGCCACCCACTTTGAGCGAAATTTTATTTTTTTAGGTGCCGAAAAAAAAAAAAAATTAAAAAAGAAAAAATTTCAAAACTTCACAAAATGGCTTAGAATACTGGCCATCCACTGAACGAAACTTAAATTTTTTAGGTGCCGAAAAAAATAAAAAATAAAAAATAAAAAATAAAAAACTTCACATAATTGCTTAGAATACTGTGGCCACCCACTTTGAGTGAAATTTAATTTTTTTTAGGTGTCGAAAAAAATAAAAATAAGCAAAAAGAAAAATTTTCAAAACTTCACAGAGTGGCTTAGAATACATGTGGCCATCCACTTTGAGTGAAATTTAATTTTCTTTAGGAACCAAAAAAAATAAAAAAAAATAAAAAATACCATTTGGGCATCTAAAAAAAATTAAATTTTACTCAAAGTGGGTGGCTAGAGGTATTGTAAGTCATTCTGTGAAGTTTTGAAATTTTTGATTTTTTATGTTTTTTTTCACCTAAAAAAATTTAAATTTCACTCAAAGTGGATGGCCACATGTATTCTAAGTCATTCTGTGAAGTTTTGAAATTTTTTATTTTTTGCTTTTTTTTCACCTCCAAAAATTAAAATTTCACTCAAAGTGGGTGGCCACAGGTATTCTAAGCCATTCTGTAAAGTTTTGAAATTTTTGAGTTTTTGAATTTTTTTGGGCACCTTAAAAAATTTAAATTTCACTCAAAGTGGGTGGCCACATGTATTCTAAACTATTCTGTGAAGTTTTGAAATTTTTGATTTTTTTGGGCACCTAAACAAATTTAAATTTCACTAAAAGTGGGTGGCCACAGGTATTCTAAGCAATTCTGTGAAGTTTTGAAATTTTTGATTTCTTGATTTTTTTTGAAAAAATTCAACAAATTTCCTATTTTCCCGAAATCTAAATTTTTTTATTTTCTCGACATTTTGATGATTTTTTCTGGAATTTTTCAATTTTTTGGGATTTTCTGAATTTTTTTAAAGATTTTTATGAATTTTTCGGATTTTTTTATTATTTTTATTCCATTTCTAAAAAAATGGATTTTTGTTCCTGGAAATAGAATTTTCTGTTGTTTATCAAACGGGTTTTTATTTCAGGAAATAGAAATTTTGTGCTGTTATCAAACGGGTTTCTGTTCTAGAAATAGAAATTTTTTGTCATTATCAAACGGGTTTTTTTTCTCAGAAACTCATCCAGGAACCAGAAATAGAAAAATCTATTTCTGGTTTAGGAACTCATTCCGGAACAGAATGGTTATCATTCGCTACCTAGAGAGCTTCAACTGCTGGTATTAAAGATTAAATCAAGTAATGAAAAAAGTGGTTATACTTGTACTGATCAAGAACCCCTAAAGCATTAAATTTTTGAAAGTGAAATTTAAGTAGGGAGGATTGGCCTTAAATAAATATATACATCTAGGAAAGACGACCTGACTAGAACTGGACACCATCAAAGGCATTATTATTCAATAACTGAGAAAGACACAGAGATCTTTCATCCTTTGTTGAATGCACTGGCGACACTTGGAACTTCCTCCCTGGTCTGGTGAACATGCAGGCTTATCTTACCTTCACTTGAAGCAACGAAATGGCCAAACCTGATTATGCCCCTCTCCTTTCCCTCACTAAAGGCCAGCTGGTTCTTTCCTCTTTTGTTCCTTGTAAGCCCCAAGCACAGCAAGGGCATGCCTTGGCATGCGACAGTTTTGTTGCACAAATTAAACGGTTCACAACAAGGATGGTCCATCCCAAAATAGATATGCTCTCTCTTGTGCTCAAATTTCAAAGATGCATTTAATGTCATTGAAATACATGAATTATGTCCAGTAAAAGGGATAAAAGAAACAAATAATAGACGAATGCCTGTAGCAATGATCAGATCAAGGAGGGACAAAATTCTTAACCAAATCTTCATTTTCTCTAGGCAGTCAAGGAATTCAGCTATGCAAAATCATCTGTCGCAAAATCATCTTACCTCCAAAAAAACAAAAGAAGCGCTATGATTGAGTCATATGTAACATAATAGTCGCAACTTTTACAAAAGAACTAACTGCACCATCCCCACATTTTCTATGTTTCAATCCTTTTTCCTAAGCCCAAAGGATGGAGTAATATAGAGATGAAGCCCCATCTTGCCACGCGAATTTCAAAGGGAGATCTAACAAATAGTTAGCCTCCCTCAGGAATGAACTCACCCTAGAAGGCACTCGAAGTCGCCATTGTGCTCGAGATATGGGGTCGGGCAACATAGGAGCCTTAATAATGCGGCAATTTACAACTGAGAACAAGAGAGGGTGAATGGGGTCGAAAGCAACTACATCGGTTCGACCAAAGAATATCGAGTCAAAAAAAATGTCCAGCTCAGAATGTCGTATAATTGGAGAAGAGATGCAACAGATTGTCCAAAGTTTCCGGGTAGAACTTCCTTGCAAACAAGTAACATGGCCTCTTCACCCCATTCCACAAACAAGCTCTTACCTGCTCTTCATGCTGCAGAAATCCAAGCAACAAAATTTTCGTTCAGGCTATTTATGTATATTTCCAGATCATTAATTGAGAGGATACGAACATTGCATACCTTATCGTCACTCGTTACATGAATGCTCACATCAATTGACTGCACAAATGACATAATAAGCACGGTCAAACCCATGACAGATAAATGGGAATAGTAATTCACATACATTATCACTATGTTTCCATACAAAAACAGGAAAAGTCACAATTTTGAAGTTTCCTACTTCACAGACTGATAGTCTTTTTCTCTTTTTGGAGTCTGATGATAGTTAAAACTGAGTAAGGAACCCCATATCTCATCTTGTCTCTGTAAAAAGTACAAACAATGGAAAATTGTCATCCATACCGTAATATTTTTCAGAAGCTCGAATGTGACATCTTGAGCCCTGTAGGATTTGGGGTGCCATTTTCTCTCTGACCAATCAACATGCGTCACCGACCATGTTGCAATTCCACCAGGATCAACCATCTGAGAACACATGCAGGGGGAAACTTGTCAAGTTGGAGATTGGTGAGATGACATCACAAACCGAGGTTGTAACACAGAAGAGGATCCTTACACTGAAGAAGGTAGGAATGTAATGTTCATCAGCAATGCAATTTTTACCGTCCAAACCTTGCTGTAGGTGTAAAGAATATCTTAATTAACATCTTGCTGTATCACAGAATTTCAACAATCATGGCTCCAACGATAGATATCATCAAAGTGACTGGACAAAACAAATATGATGCAATGAACTGACAAGTTAATTGTCCAAAGAAATATGGCCAGGAACTGTTCAGAATGAAAAAATGACGAACGAAAGGAACCGGAACAACTCTCTTTGGAAGCAAAATATCTTTCTGGATACATGCAGGCGATGTTTGCAATAGGGGCATAAACTACGATCCACAAGCCCAATAATAATAAGATGATAGGCAATAGGATTGAAAGCAACTGAATAAGCATATTCACCTTACAATAGTCCTTGAATTTCGAGTAATATAGACTGTCAGCCATGAGAATTAAAGCATGCTGCCGCTTCATTGTGAACCACTGCAGAGAACTCAACAATTAATTCGAAATTTGAGCCAGAAAAACTCTTAGTTCAGAAGCCAACATGCGAAGTTTAAAACCTCTAAAACACATGGCAGCAAGAAAAAACAGACGACTTAGAGAGTCCTAAAACAAATTTAGATTTGGCAAGACTTCTACCATCTGAAAAAGTAATATATATGGAAAAAAGAAACAGACTTGTAAATTTAAAATAGCAGGCTTTATAATCTGCAGGTTCAACGAATTGAGATGTCAGATAGTTATACAGAAGATACGCGGTGCACCAAATTAGCAAAGACCTATCTCTGCATGTATGTGGGCTAGCATGGGAAAAGTTCACTTTCTAGAGAGACTAGCCTTCTCATCTGGAAAATAACTTTTGTGAGCTCAAAGAACAAAAGCACTGTAAAAGTTTAGATTTCCTTCAAGTCAATTCTTTCCCAATCTTGTCAAAATGAAAATTCGTCAGTTATATTAGAATGAAAATTCTTCAATTGCATACAACTTCACTCTGGCAGCCACGTCAAAGCCATCAAATGGCCTCGGACTCCCAATATAGGAATGTACGTAACATCTCACTCATTCTTGACATACCTGGGCACCTTTCCGGAAATCTTTCTTCTCAACTTCAGGTAACATGTGGTCTGAGTATCTGCCGTTCCCATGTGGACCGGGATCATAGAAACTACATGGGAAATAAAAAATAGTTGAGAATGAGATGCCGGCCTTCTCACTTAAAAAAAGTTGCAACTAAAGAGCTGCAGCCACGAGGTACAGAAAATAAGTAAGAAGCGTAGTAGAATACAAAAAACAATATGTGCTTACCAGTCAATGTAGCTGATATTTGTGTGCATAAGATAATCATACACATAGTCAAAAGTATGCAATGGCACACAGCTGCAACAAGACAAGATTAGAAATCAGAACTTAGAATCAAGCTACTTCAAATTTTTTTCATTATAATAAATGGGAAAATTTTAATTTTTTGCATCATTACCTATCAGAGAGTAACACAAAATGTTGGTTATCAGGATCTTTAAGAGCGTTAGCCAATAAACGTCTCTCAGCATCAATCATGGAAATTTTTCCCCACACCACCTGCATAGGTAAACATAACATCAATTTCAAAATATTATCTTTTTATAGATAAATGTAAGCAACCATATGGCAACAGGGGGGGTCCAAACCCATACAGAAAAGAGCTCAAAGAACAAAAAAGAGCTCGGTTACAAGACAAAGCATCAATTCATAAGATTGTGCCATCACACATAGCAAAAACTAGCACGTACATATAAAATCGGTACAACTACAAGCTGCAACAATTATGCTGTCACATAACAGAAGATCCCCTTTTTTTTTACTTTTGACCTTAATCTCTTCCTAACTATGACTATATTGGAATTAAAAAACGAGAAGCAGAAGTCCAAGGAAGACAAAAGAATATGAAGGCTGTAACTTGAAATCTATAGGCACCTAATTCATTTTTACAGTAAATTGACAGCCTTAAAGAATTGTTCGGGTCAAGCATGAATCAAATGGTTCGTGATCTTACATGACAGACTCAGGCTACTAAACCGATTGGCTGGATTCTGAATTTATCCAATTCAGACCCTGCCTGTTACAATCAACTTGAAAATGATTAATAAAAAATGCTATGAAGGATAGTAAACAGGGGGCTGGAGAAACGGCTCAGTAATTTTTCTTTAATTAAAGCCCTTCCAAGAAAATATGCATTGAAGCTTCTATATAGAGAAAAACAATTACATAATGGAATTTTGTTCAGTAAAATTCCATGGATTTTTCTTAAAAATAAAAAAGTTCAATGAAACTTGCATTTAGTGTAATTTGAGAGCATCAACTACAAAATGCACCAGGCGGATAGCCACCATATTCTTCACAGCAACCATTTCATATGAGTTTACAGATTTGTAGATTCCTAATTTTATCTGATAAAAGAACCGATTGAAAATAAGTGGGAAGAATAGGATAATCTGCAAATTAGCAAATCAAAAGACCAATTTGCCGAAAAGGAAGGGATGCCAACGAAAGCATCCATTTTGAGTAACATTTACTCAAGTTCACCGGCACCGTACTTGAAAAAGCAATATGCTGCAAAGTTCATGACAAGTTCAGCGTAACAGCATCTATCAATAACTGCCACAGCCACAGACATTGCAAAGAGAACATCTGTTAGCCACTATTCCCACATAAAGATTCATCAGCCGTACACTTCACTCTTTTGACACATCAAGCCGGAGTCACTATGAAAGCAAGGAACAGCCTATTTAAATATCTGAGATCAGAGAAGGCTTTTCTTTCCTTTTTGTATTCCCCGTTTATCTTTCTTTTGCATGTAACTTTGCAGTTTCATGAAAAAACTTGCACTCCACAAACATAAGTCGCCCCTACCAAAACAACTTTCTTCATCAACAGAATATAATGCTTCAGCCAGAAATCCAGAGAGAGGGTATAAAAAGTGAACGAACATATTTTGTTGGTTTGTACCAAAGTGCAAACCTCTAAATTGGAAAATTTGTGCAGTAAAACTCAACACATGATTATCAGAACACGGACATTTTGCTAAGTAAGTTACTGAACCTGGTCGCTCCTTATGTCTTGATCAATGAAGTAACTGCTCACATGTACAGGTTTTTCCTTTGATGCATGGACATAGACTGTGAATCTTCCTTCATGACCCTAACAGAGAAGCCAAAGATATTGTTAGTCGAGAAAGACAAAATTCAGCAGTAGTTATTTGCCATTATTTCAGGAAAACACACTAAAAGCCAAAATGATGTCATCTGAATTCCCAATGAATTGTTCCAGGAATAAGTCTTACAACGGAAAGGCAATACACAATCAATTTGTTACATCAAGCGTAACCATATTTACGTAGCCTTCCTTAACAAACAGTTGATGGGCATATATGCTTGACAGCTTAGTTTAGGAGAATCATTTCCTTAACGCCCCTTCTCCTAGTATTCTGAAGACAAAGATACCGCATAAATTATTCAAGGCTCAGTTATGATCATGCTATCAAGGCTGGATCTTCACCAGGACCAAAAAAGGCCCAGATTACCTCATTCAGCTGTGGGGCCATCACATAAGCCAAAAGAAGATCAAAACAAATTGAGAGGCAAGCTTCTCCAAGTTTTTCTTCGCAAAAGACGGAATTTCAGCACTGAGAACACAAGCATAAAGTATTGTGTACGCATCTGCTTAGCTACTATTCTTTCTTCAACTAGACCGATGTCCGCTCATACATAAGTATG